CCGAATCATCAAGTTCTATACACAGTGTATAGGACATGAGGATGCCGAGGGACAGTCCATCGCTACAGAGGAGGAGGAGACCAGCTGAAGGGAGCATTGTCACAAGTCAGCTGGCTTGGAGGATCAGGTGAGTATAACTTTGTAATTTTCCTCCCTAGACCAAAACAAGCAGTTAACCCTTGCAGTGTGGGGGTAGCCCCTGAATTCCTGCTTTAAATAAGCAATGCAAGTCTGAATATCTATTCAAACTCAATTATTGTTATCATTATATTGTTGATTTTGTTGTTGTTGCTATTATTACTGATGTTGTTTTGTTGTTGTTGCTGTTTTATCGCTGACAGGCTGTATTATTCTTGCCTTTTAGGCATTAATTACAGACCAGATAAAATCAGGTTGGGGATTCCTTACCTGTACACCTGTTATCTGGCAGTGTTTTCTCATGAATCATGTGCGATGCTCACAGGTTATACAGGAAATCTTATCTGGACATGTAGTGAATTCCAGGAGTTATTAAATTTTTCAGAAATAACATGTAAAATGTGCACATAAAAAAAAATTCCTCTATTGACAGCGTGGATAGTCACTCATTCATCCGCACATGATGAATTTAGCACATTTGATCCCCTCCAGTCTTGTTTTTCTTAGCCTGTCTATGAAACTATTTTCCCAGACTGCAAATTGTAGCTGGAAGCCTGAGACCTCTTAGAACATTTTCTGCCTACAGCCAATGTGCAGGTGGCCTTAAAGAGACACTACACACAGCTTGATAATGCCAGACTGGGGCGTTATGCTGACCTATAGACTGAGGGTTAGGTCATTGTGAAATCACTTTTTTGCTGTATATTTAATGTGTTGTGATGTTCCCTGTAAGTGGTTAGATGTCGGGCACAAAACTCTCATTTAAATATATTCATCAATAGCAATAAAATATATAAATCCACTGTGTGTGCAGCACATTGGAAACTCGGATAGTACCTTGTAAAAGTATCGGTGACCTCATTACTGGGCTACACATAACCTGTACATAGAGCAGAGCTGTGTCGGGTGGAGCGGGGGACCTAGCAGGCCCACCACATACCACCACATACTTGTTCCAGGCAGTGGATCACCACAGGCAACCTGCAGAAAATTACAGGAGGGGGCAGATACAAGACCAGTCACCCTGCCCAAGCAGAGAGAGCAGCAGTGACTGGTCTTTATTACAGGAAGTTGCTGCACAGAGGTAATGTTTCACACTAGATTACTGCACATATCTGGAAGAATACACAAAGGACACCATGATTCAAGTTAGTATACACATGACTCTTGTATTGAGGCAATATTTGCTGGAGTTCATCTGTAAAGAAACCAATAGCAAGAGCATATGAAGGCTAAAACTCCTGATCTCTCCTTCTAAAAAAGCTAGTTGCCTGGCTTTCATGCCGATCCTGTTTGCAGTTTAGGAGGTTCACTCTATCCAATCTATCAAATCTACATACTTGTTCCAGGCAGTGGATCAGAAAGCTTTGGAGCCAGACAAAGCCCTACAACTAGTAATAGCATCCCACATACAGGTGAAACTCGAATAATTAGAATATCGTGCAAAAGTTCATTTATTTCACTAATGCAACTTAAAAGGTGAAACTAATATATGAGATAGACTCATTACATGCAAAGCAATATAATTCAAGCCGTGATTTGTCATAATTGTGATGATTATGGCTTACAGCTCATGAAAACCCCAAATCCACAATCTCAGAAAATTAGAATATTACATGCAATCAATAAAACAAGGATTGTACATAGAACAATATCGGACCTCTGAAAAGTGGGTGGCCATTTTATGGGCATGTTATGATATAATTTGAGGGTAGATACATGTCATGAAACATGTCTAAAGGCATTGATACATAGCCAAACTGTGGACATAGCTGATTAATATAGACAAGTCCGGTTGGTGTTTGGCCCTAGATATATTCCAGAATCATAATTAATGGCACAACAAAAAAGTCCCCAAGGCTCTTCCAAACAGTCAGCATACAGGACCTCTGTAATAGGTTTCTATTTGAAAAACTCTTCCTTCAGTCATCACTGTATTCCATTGCTCCTGATTAGAATAGGACTACACTATACAGGAGCTCATTGATGCAACCATATAGCTTCTGCATACTGAATTTGCTAAGGTGTGCAATTAGGAGGACCTCTGTTCATAAATTAGAAGAAGACCTGGCAGGTCTTGTTTGCTGATTGGCAGGATGAGTACTGGAAACTATTCGTTGCATCTTATACGTGAAACACATCTTTCCCATGGTAAGCAGCTAATGTTAGTTTCAAATTGATTAAGCATCGGCTATTCTCTGTAATTACAATGTATATAATTGTGCAAGGATTAATTAAGGGCCAGGTAAGAACTCATCAGCCAATAAAATTGTAGCAGATGAGTACTACATTCCTGAGAATAGGTCTGATTTAAAATAATTATGAATTTATGTATGCAAGCTGGAACATTCCAAGGTAATGATAGTGAATCCAATTGGATGTTGCAGCCACAATGTGAGAAAGGTTTTGCAACAGAGCAAGCAAGTAATTGACATACAAATATTGATGTATTACATCAGATATATTTGTAAGCTCCGCTGTGTGTTACATACATTGTAAAAAAAAAAATGAGGGGGAGTGAAGCAGCGCATATGACAAAGCAAAGAAGAGTGACGAAGACCTAGTATGACCTTTAGGAAGTTTGATGCAAGATTGCAGGGGTAAAATTGTTGGCTGGTAAGTAAACACTGCTGCCAATTGTCACTAACTGGCACAGACTGCCCTACATATTCATAATGTGTGCCAGAAAATGTTTACCCCCCATAGAGACAATCAAATCATTTGAGTGCAATATACTTTAATCTTGCAGACTAAAACTATGGACACGCTTGTTTAATAAGGTAAAGAACAATCTGCACTTTGTATGACCTTTGGAAACTGCACCATAAAGTACTGCATTCAATTTCCTTGTAATCCACATAAAATAATGACAATTAGAACCTAGTTGTTTTTGATGAGTCTGTATACTATGGATAGTAGACATGTGCGATTCGTTCCGTTTCGAATCGAAATTCAGACGAAATTTTGGAGATTCGAATGTATCCGAATTACAGCTAAAACAAATGCAAACGAATTCAAATTTCCGATTCCGAAATTCGTTAGCGGTAGTCTGGACGAATTGTCATTTCGTTTCATTCGTTCGTTGCAGTAAAGTGACATTTGAGGACATTTTTTTTACAGTTTGCAGAAAAGGGAAAAAAAAAAGCGTGAGGTTCCCCCCCAATTGATAAAAAAACGTGGGGCCCCCCCTAACATTCCTACCAGACCCTTGATCTGAGCACAGGCCCGGAAGGGCAGGCCACATGCCCTCGGCATTGGGAGGGTGTCCCCATGACGATGGGGACAAGGGCCTCTTCCCCACAACCCTGACCTGGTGGTTGTGGGGGTCTGCGGGCAAGGGGGCTCATTTGCATCAGGGTACCCCTTTAATTAAGGGGGCACCCAGATGCCCCCCCTTGTGAATGAGTAAGGGGTACTTGTACCCCTTCCCATTCACTGAAGGGTTTAAATTCAATGTAAATAAACAAACCACACTTTTAGAAAAAATCTTTTAATTGAAAAAAAAACAGTCAATTTTTGACTATTTCTTTAATTGAAAAAAAAAATGGCTCCATCAATGTAATCCAGCGTCAATCACGATGCACGACGCCCGCCGACCCGCTGAAATAAAAAAAGTCCCGCCGCACGACGACAGTCCGAACCCGACGAAAGCTCGCTGCAAAATGACATCTCGTGCCCGAAAGTAAACAGATGGGCGGAGCAAGCCGTGGCGTCACGGCTCGCTCCGACCATTTGACATTCTCAGCTGTTAAATACAACATAGTATTCGGGAACTCCCGAATGCTATTCATGAGCTCCCGAATGCCATTCGGGTCTGTGAGCCGAGGTGTCATAATACTATTCATACGCAACGAACGAACGAACTAACTGAATCTGAAACTAATTGACTTTTGGACCCAAATCCCGAAAAACAAAATAACGCAAAATCCGAATCAAACCGAAACTAAAAAATTTTTGTCGGTGCACATGTCTAATGGATAGTCCCCCTGCTCTTAGAATTGTATTTGCCATTTGTAGTAAGTAACATATGCATATAAAGTGAGGTACAGCAATTGATCTCAAGCATTATTTTTGCAGAACGCACTGGACTGAAACGCAAACACTAATGTGTCTGTGTTCCGGGTGCGGGCGTTCGCACTGCGTGAGGGGGGGGCGTGGCTGCGGTGCCATTGACTTCAATGCACCGCCACGCCCCCTCCTGCCCCTGAACGCAGGGAGCTGGCCGCCTTGCGTTCCAGAGGCTAAACGCACCGGAACGCTGAGTTTGTGGTGTGAACCGGCCCTAAAATTATGACGAAAATACATTGCAATTTTCTCTACTAGAGATTTAGTTGAAAAAACTAAACTAAAACGAAAAGAATTCAGATGACTAAAATGCGACTAAAACTAAAATGCGTATTTTAGTCATCTGAATTCTTTCGTTTTGTCAACTAAATCTCCAGTAGAGAAAATCGCAATGTATTTTCGTCAGAGTTTTAGTCCTATTAACTTAGTTTTTATGTAGTTTTCATCAATGGAATCATGCAGATGATGAAAACTATGACAAAACATTTTAGATTACTAAATTAACACTGGTATACAGTCGTTCTGGACAGAAAAATTGCCAGTTGTGTCTATAGGAGAGAAGTGATGATGAAAACCATGACAAAACATTTTAGTTGACTAAATGAACACTGCTGTATACATAGAGACTGCATTATAGCTTACGAAACTGTTATAATATTATTTGTAAAAAGAGCCTCAGCTTTCTAAAGTCAGATATGCCTTGTGTGGGCACTTTAATCCTTATCTAGAATAGCGAGTCTATAATGTAAGGCAATTAAACACAGACACCTTATAAAACCCCAAAATGGTCTTCCTACCTGGCCATAGCTGGCAGTCCTACAAGGGGCCACCCCATTCTCCATGCTCTCGCCCATTACTGTCTAGAACTTTGTTGATGTCACTATGACAACAATGAGCCATCGTGTCCAGGGTGGTTGTAAACAGAGACTTGTTACAACTAGGAAGCCGGAAGTGTTCCATTCACTAAGAAAACAGTCATTCTCCTCTGTTACACGATACTATGACTACCAAATGTGGAAAGCATTAACTGTTTTACTGCCGGAAGGTCCTAACAAAAACAAACAAAATAACTAGTAATAAAATAACTAATAGAATGAAGCTCTTCCCTATATGCAGCTCTTCTGTGATATGTCCAGCTCCTTTATTTGATTACAGAAGAAAGGAAGAGCTATGCTTTATCTAAAGTTGTAACCAATCCTCTTCTTCATCCAGTGCATGTGTATACCCAATATACACCGATCAGCCATAACATGACCACTGGGAAGAAGGCCAGCTGGTGGAGGCTGCATGATGCTTTAAGCAATGTTCTGCTGGGAAACCTTGGGTCCTGTCATTCATGTGAATGTTATTTTGACACGTGCCATCTACCTAAACATTGTAGCTGGCCAAGTACACCTCTTCATGGAAATGGTATTTCCTGATGGCAGTGGCCTCTTTCAGCAGGATAATGTGCCTTGCCACACTGCAAAAATGTTTCAAGAATGGTTAAAAATCCATGCCAGGGCCTGGCATCTATTTTGAGTTTAAGATGTTGATTTGGCCTCCAAATTCTCCAGATCTGAATCCAATGTAGTATCTGAGGGATGAACTGGAAAAACAAATCCGATCAACGGAGGCCTCACCTTGCAACTTACAGGACTTAAAGGATCTGCTACTGACAGCTTGGTGCCAGATACCACAGCATACCTTCAGAGGCCTAGTGGAGTCCATGCCTCGACGGGTCAGGGCTGTTTGGGTGGCAAAAGGGGAACCTACTCAATTTTAGACGTGTAGTCATAATGTTATGGCTGATTGTTGTACATGTAAATTCCATAAACTATACTAAAGAAAGAATGAACTATATTATACTAAAGAAAGAATGAAGGAAGAAAAACCAACTATCATTAATGAGCATAGTCTGTTATGGCGTCTGAAACAGCAACACACCTCAGCTTTGCTTTATTTTTATGGCATTGGCATGTAAGGAAATATGATTCAAGCTATAATTTATGATCACCTTGATCATATTCTCATTTACTAGTACAGGTTTAGCCTCATAAAGCTTTAAATGAATCTAACAGACACCAGATTACATGTCATCTCCTGCAATATGTGACTAGCCCTTTATAAAATCTCCACTCAGAAATATACTGCTCTCTATGTCAGTCATGATCAAACAGAACGGGGCTGATTTTCGGTACACAAATCTAAGCCCTGCGTCCAGCGGTGCGCGGGGGGGGGGGGAGCCTGGCCTAAAGCCGTGTAGGGGGCCCCAAAATTTCTGATGGCTGCCCTGTGTGTGTGTTCCAGGTTAATGACTCAGAAACCAGCATTGTTAGAAGGAGAGGTCAGCAGTGGTCTCTGCACAGGTACAGGTTTCCTTTCATCTGAATCAATGTGACGTGAACACAGGTTTGTTGACCTGTCATAGACCTTATATAAAAACAAAATAAGATGCATCACTTGTTATGTAAGTCCTACCTCACAATAAAATCTAATTATGTACTTCGCTGTAAACTACAGGTAGTAATTAGGGATAATACTCCTCCACTTAAAGTACCTCTGAGTCTAAAATAACTATAATGAGAGAAAGCTGCAGCAAGAAAAAAGCATAATAATATATAAAAAGTAAATGCACAAATTTCTTATTTATATATTTTTTAGCCAGATCCAGTGGACTGTTTCTGTACTGTATCAGAAAACTATTTCCTCTTAACCTGACTGTTTCTTCGTCGTGAATAGACTGAAATGACTACTGCCACTAGAACTGCCAAGGGCGCTTAATATATTACAAATGCATGTTTACATCTTTTACATTATTTCTTATATTTTAATGTGAATATGGGGATCAAATGTATTAGGGATGCAACAATACCGATGCGAGTACTCGTCCAAATGCTCCTTTGCCTAGCCCGATACCCGAACTTTCGGGAACAGGAAGCCAGGCAGCCAGTCATTACACGCTGCCCGGCTTCCTCATTGGCCATCTTCCCAGCCAATCAAGAAGCCAGGCAGTGTGTAATGACTCGCCGCCTAGCTTCCTGATTGGTTGGGAAGATGGCAAATGAGGAAGCCGGACGGCAAGTCATTACCCGCCCCCCGGCTTCCTGATTGTGCCAGAAAGCTGGCTTTATGCTCCCTCGTCACCTGATGACGAGGAAGCATGGAGCCGGCTTCCCGGCTACCGAGGAAGCTGAGCTTCAGTTAAAGTACCGCAGCGCTGAATACTGAAAAATGGCCTGGATGGGAAGGGGGTTTAACACCGCGGATGTCAACTGGTTAATGACTTGCCATCCTGCTTCCAGATTGGCCAGAAAGACTGCTCCATGCTTCCTTATCACCATGGAGACGGCTTCCCTGCTAATCGGAAAGTCGGGTGGCGATTCTTTATGCGCCTCCCGGCTTCCTAGCATATCAGGAATCAAGGTGGAGAGTCATTACACACACCTGGCTTTCTTAAGGGACTTCCGGTATCGATATTCGGTATCAGCGAATACCGGAAAAAAAATATCAGTACTCGTACTTGATACCGAAAAAACAGTATCGGTGCAAATTCATACTTCCTACCCGTTAGACCCCCTGTGTTGTACTGCCCCTCCAACCCAGTAGACTGGCTACTAGGGATGCACCGATACCGGTTTTTCGGTATCGAGTATGACTACCTATATTTGTCTATTGGTACTCGCTGATACCGAGTACCGATAACGGCAACCTGAGTTAGCGTGAGCCCGACTTCCCGGCCAATCAGGAAGCATTTATCCACGCATGAGTGATTGCATGCATATAGGGACAGGTGAGCGGTCCTGGACGCAGACTATCTGTGTCATGCATCCGTCCCTGTATGCATGTAATCATTTGGATGTGCAGTAAGCTATGTGGCATATGTCAGCGATTTTTTTCAACAGACTGCTGGTCACAGCTGTACACTAACACCTGAATGCAACAACACATGCATTCTGCATACTGTATGGGCCTATGTGAATGGGACCTTAATGCAGCTTTATTATACTTATCGTTCTACAAAACTAAACTCTTTGTAAGGATGTCGCTCTACTTTAAGGACTGTTATTTTATGTTAATCCATGTCTTTCTACAGTACACCGTATCTCTTCTTTCAGGTGCAGTGGATAATCAGAAGACCACACATGTATGAACATATGCTGTGCAGTGTCTGCCATACAGAATGGAATTCACCCCTCTCCAGGTATGCAGCTTGATGGAGCCTGCCTAATATTTCCAATCGAGTGTTCATCCTGTCTTTAACATCAGCCACCTGAGTGACGAAAGTGTTGATCCCAATTGAATTGTCCGTCAATCAAGTGTGGAGAAGAAGTAGCGCCTCATTTAAAGGGAACAACTGCATTCAAATTCAAACCTTCTACACAAGATAAATGATAAAACCATCCATGCATCACCATTGCTTGAATCTTATATTGTTACCGTATTCTTCCCACTACTACGTGTCTGTATTTCAGTTCATTAGTATCCTCTCATAGTGTTTGCTGTCTATGATAACACGGAAGATCGACTTAGAACAATTGTACACTTCCTGACATTTGAACATTGAGCAGCTGTTGTGAAAGGGTGTAACATAAGAAGATCAACACTGGCTGCTTGACATGTCAGTTATTAAATGGTCTATCCACCTAAAACTGATATGTTCGGTAGATGCTGGATATGTTAAACCACCTGATAGTTTATTTGATCTCTTCAGGACTTTGTTAGAGAGATTTCTTTAAGACTTCATTGTGATTGGCTTCATTGTAAAGGGCCTATTCACACCAGTGTGCTCTACCACATGCTAGGTGCCTTGAGCAACATCACACTGCGTTAACGTGGTTTGCATTAAGGCAGCCCATTTGTTTAAATGGCACCCCAGCGCACCTCCTGGCAGCTGTGCATTGCAGCGCAACATGCGGTGCCGAAATACAGTGGGGGGAATTTATCAAAACTGGAGCAGACAAAATCTGGAGCAGATTTGCACTGCAACCAATCAGCTTCTCTGTCTCATTTTAAAATCTAACCTGAGCAAACTGAAGAGAGATGCTGATTGGTTGCTATGGGCAACTGCTCCAGATTCTGTTTGCTCCAGTTTTGATAATTCCCCCCAATGTGTTGTGGTGGGAAAAAAAGTAGTGCACGTACTACTTTTTTTCCACCACACTGCAAAGCAGGGTATTGTGGTACCACTGAAATGATGATGTCAGTGGTCCTTAGGCCACCAGAGCCCAGGAGAGAAGAGACTGTGGGGACCGGTCTAGCAGTCAGAATGGACCAAGGATCATGTGAGTATATCTTCTTTATGTGAGCCTCTGGACCAAAACGAGCAATTAACCCTTGCAGTGCGGGGGTAGCCCCAATGCAGGGGTTAGCTTTGAAATGTCTCAAGTTCTTCTTTAAGCATACAATAGATGTTGCTCCTGTTACTCTGTCTATCCTGGGAAACAGATCCAATTGCCTTCTGGGAACTGCAGCCCTATTGATATTATATGTATTCACTACAATGCAAGGAAGCTTTCTGGTACAGACTGGAACCTGGTGTAGTAAGGTGATAAATATCTGGTTGTATGTAAATATGTCACTTATGTTATGTGAACCTAACTCAACTGTCAGTGATAATAAGGTGAAGGGTGTGCTGGGAGCCATTAAAGGCAGTGAAGAAATGAACTTCTTTTAGCAGATTGCAGCAGATTATTGCACTATGAGCTATAGAGAATAACAAACATTTTGCGGTGTGGAGAGTGTCCATCCTTTGTTATGAGGCGCTGCTTTTATATTACCAGCAGTCTGTGCCGTAGCCTGAAGAGCCGAATTTTAGAGTAGTTGTATAGTAATTTTTTATGTTTTTCTTTATGCCTATGTCCAAGGAAACCACAAAACTCCTGTTGTGGTGGGACTGCCCCCACACTGTAAACCCTTGGTTCTCAACTGGTGGGTCGTGACCCAAAAGTGGG